CACCCCCCACACCACAAACACACCGTTCTTTTGGGTGGTAAGACTAGTAGCGTGGAGATGTGTCTCACAACCCCGTTGGGGTGGGGGGGGGGGGGGGGGGGGGGTGTTACTATTTTGGAATGCTCCCCACAAACACATAAAGAAATAAATCCTTGGCAGTTAAAACAAAGGTAGCTAGTACACTGAAGTACCCTGAAGCCAGTACCCCAAAGAGAGAGGTTTTACCCCAGGCCATTCCTTTAGAAGCTAGCTTTTTAACTGCTGGATTTTATTTATTTTTTAATCTGATCAGCAAAGAATTTAAAAATTGAGGTTCTTAGCCCATCACTACCCATCAAGATATCAGGGCAGGATTCTACCCCACTCTCATTCTGCAGAGGCATGAATGCACATGGGAGAAGAAATTCATGCATCATGGCAAGTGGAGATATATATACTTCATACATACTTCAAATTTCTAAGATGTGTTTAATATCATCGTCATCATCATCATCATCATCATCATCATCATCCTAGAACTCAAGTGAGTGTTCATCAAGAACAGAGAGATCACTTAATGAGGAGGGACTGAGGGTCACCAAGAAGAGACACCATACAAAGTAAGCTTGAAAGAAGGTCTTTTGTACCAAGACATTTGGACTTTGTTTGTTTGTTTGAACTATACTTAATGTAGTTAAGGTGTTTTGGTGTTTACTGTATCAGAATGGGAGAAAGTAAGCCACTCTTTTCTGGCAGTCAAAGACAGGGGCATATCTCGAGGACTCAAGAACTGAAGTTTAAGGAATAGTTGCAGCTCTGATTCTGCAGGTTGCAAACATGATTCTCCCCTTCCACACAAACATACCACACTTTTTTTTTTTAACCCTTTTGACAAACCTGCCAAGTAGGAAGGTTAGGCTGAGAGAAAGAGGAACTCCATGGTTGAGCTTGGTCTAGCTCAGTGTTGCAAAACACAGAAATAGATGAAGGAAAAGCTTGAGGAAGAGCAGGAGGAAACCAATACTGGAGCTGTGAAATGTATTAAATCAGGCAAACACTGTTGACTCAAAACTTCGGGACACTTGAAACACACAACACCCAATCAAGAGAAATTCACTAGTATAAGATGTGGCAATGGCCACTAGTTAACTTTTAAAATCTTTTTTAATTAGTTTTTATTAAAGAAGTTTTTTCAAAGTAAAAACAATACATATTTAAAGAAAAAAGGCAGTAAACGTGATAAGTGAATAGGAAAGAAATGGAAGACAAAAGACAAAAGAAGGAGGAGGAGGAGGAGGAGGAGGAGGAGGAAGAGAGAGAGGGAGGGAGGGAGGGAGGGAGGGAGGGAGGAAGGAAGGAAGGAAGGAAGG